CCCAGTTTTGGCACTTAAATGGTTTATTTAGAAAATTAGGTTATGTGGAGTACCTCATTCTACAAAAGTGTTGGATCTAAATGAAGTGTTTTTGTATTATAGGAGCATAAATTCTACATGTAAACATTGGGGAAACTGCCTACATTTGCTTATTTTTAATTTTCAATCATCCTTTCCAGGAAGATTCCTGATGCCACACCCATTGTAAGTGATCAGAAACCATCTGTGTCAAAGTCTGGACGGAAGATTAAAGGAAGGGGCACAATCGTATGTTTGTTAAGACTTTTCTTTTTTCCAATTATCTAAGCGGTAAAGTGTTTTTACCTGTAGGCAAAAATCCTAGCTTTAATTTTAGTATGATCCAAAATCTCTTCAAGGAGCTAGTTGTGTTCTCCGTAACTATGGGAAGGTACTGCTGTTAGAGGTCACTGCCATGTTTTGATGGGTTTAAGTATGAAATGAACATGTGAAACAGTCTGAGAAATCTTAGTATGCTGAATACTCTAGGCTAATGAATGTAAGCATTAGGACTTTGAAGTGGAAATTTTCACATGTGATTACAGGTAAATCTCAGCCTTTCCCATTTCTTTTAGTTGCTTATGTTTGACATAACTTCATGTCATCCCTTTGGCACTTCAGTCATTATTGCCTTTGAGTGGGGTCTGAGATTGGGTCTTACACGTAGCTCTGTCCTGTAGCAGACTGTAATTGCCAGGTATTTTAAAAAGAGTTACTCATGTCTTTGTTTTTAAAGCGTTATCACACACCTCCAAGGTCAAGGTCCTGTTCTGAATCAGATGATGATGACAGCAGTGAGACTCCTCCTCACTGGAAAGAGGAAATGCAGAGACTGAGAGCATACAGACCACCTAGTGGAGAAAAATGGAGTAAAGGAGATAAGTAAGAGCCTTGTACATGCACAGTCCTGTGTCTGCTATGTTTGGACTTTTCATTAAAGATTTAAATTTCAGATTAGACAGTGACCAGGGAATACATTTGGTGAAAGTAGTGCTGTTAACCAGGAGGGCTGATGGCTTTGGGGTGCTTTAAAATCAAAACTCTCTTTTCCCCTCACAAGACTATAAACCTACTGAATCTCTTAAAAGATTTTTGGTTTAATTTTAGAAATAATCAAGTCTTAAAATGATATAGCAGGTACTTTCATAGACCCCAGGGACTGCTCCTGCTTCAGAGTGTACCCATCACTCTCAGTGACACACCCCACAGGGGAATGATTATTTTAGAAACGGGGCTGGCCTCAGAATAGCTAGTGAAAATATACTTAAAAAATGAAAATATACCAACGGGACCCTCCATAATTGTTCATGGTAAAATTCTCTTTTTCGGCACAGGCGTCCTATAGTATGTTTGAAATTAGAAGAGGAAGGAAAAAGTGTGCATTTGCTGTGTGGAAGTGGTTTAGGCACATTGGTACTGAGGACTCTCAGTTTTGAGCCCTGACATTACCAGCGAGATAATAAAGCCTGCATCTGTTTTCATGTACTTTTTCCTCAGTTTCTGTAGTAAGTAGTTTAAACCTTAGGGGAAGGTCTTGATTACCTTCGTGAGGCTGAGGTAAAACAATAGTCTTGCTAGTTGAGGTAGCTATCCTGTATCTGCAGAGAATCAACAGAATTATTGGGGAGCTTGGTTTGAAATTGTTCCTGCAGAAAGAGGGCTATGAGCCGATCACAGCCAGGAACTCAGTAGTCAGCAGTGCTTTTGTGATTAGGTGGTTTGGTTTTCAAAGCCATTTTCCATTTTCCTATCAAATTTGAAGTGTTTTGCTTAGCTTTGGGGGGGGAAAAATCCTTTTGTAAGTGGCTCTGTTAGCAGTTGTCCATGTGTCTGCAGTTGAAAGGTCAGGACCAGGCCAGTCACTGATTTATCCTTCCTGCATGTGCTTAAAGTGTTGGTGGAGCCAGTACTTTGTCGTTTCTAGGCTTCTGTCAGTGCATTTGTATGGACAGCAAATGTGTTTTAGTTTTAAAACATGGAAGTTTCGGCTGGATAGCTCAGTTGGTTAGAACATTGTCCTGATAAACCAAGGTTGTGGATTTGGTCTCAGGTCAGGGCACATGCAAGAAACAACCAATGAATGCATGAATAAGTGGAACTACAAGTCAGTGTTTCTCTCAAATCAATAAATTTAAAAACATATTTTAAACAGAAAACATGCTTGCAAATAATACATGCCTATTATGTTCTTTTCTGTAGGTTGAGTGACCCCTGTTCAAGCCGATGGGATGAAAGAAGCTTGTCCCAAAGATCATGGTCTTATAATGGATATTATTCAGACCTTAGTACAGCAAGACACTCTGATGGTCACCATAAAAAACGCAGAAAAGAGAAAAAGGTTAAGCATAAAAAGAAAGCTAAAAAGCAGAAACATTGCAGAAGACACAAACAGACTAAGAAGAGAAGGATCATTGTACCATCTGACATAGAATCCTCAAAGTCCTCCTCCCGGCGAATGAAACTCTCCTGTGAGAGAGAGAGGAGGTCTCGTTCTTCCTCGTTGTCCTCTCACTCGTCGAAGAGGGACTGGTCTAGGTCCGATAAGGATGACCAGAGCTCTTCCACCCATTCCAGCAGAGACTCAGACAGATCAAAATCTCACTCACAGTCTTACTCTAGGGGAAGCTCAAGGTCAAGGACTCCATCGAAGTCCTCATCACATTCTCGAAGTAGATCAAAGTCCAGATCTAGTTCCAAGTCAGGGCACCAACGGACAGCATCAAAATCCCCAAGAAGAACAGCCTCTCAGCTAAGTGAAAATAAACCAGTTAAAACAGAGCCTTTAAGAGCAACAGTGCCACAAAATGAAACCATCGTGGTACAACCACCAGTGGTGGCGGAACATATTCCTGTAATACCACTGAGTGACAGTCCCCCTCCTTCCAGGTGGAAGCCTGGACAGAAGCCCTGGAAGCCCTCTTATGAGCGGATTCAGGAAATGAAAGCAAAAACAACTCATTTGCTGCCCATCCAAAGCACTTACTGTTTAGCAAATATTAAAGAGACTGGTAGTTCATCATCCTACCATAAAAGAGAAAAAAATTCAGAAAGCGATCGGAGCGCTTATTCAAAATACAGTGATAGAAGTTCAGAAAGTTCCCCAAGGTCAAGGAGCAGGTCCTCTAGGAGCAGATCTTATTCCAGATCGTACACAAGGTCACGAAGTGTAGCTAGTTCACATTCGAGGTCTCGGTCTCGGTCTCACTCATCTAGATCTCATTCACGAAATAAATACAGTGATCGTTCACAGTGTAGTAGGTCCTCTTCATACTCTTCCGTTAGCAGTGATGCTGGAAGACGAGCCAAGAGAAAACTTACATCCAATGGGAAAAAAAATAGCACTTCAAATAAAAGGCACAGCAGCAGCTCTGAAAAGGCACTTCGCAGTAAATACGTCAAAGGCAGGGACAAGTCTTCGCGTCAGAGAAAGTATAGCGAAAGCAGGTCATCCTTAGATGATTCCTCAGACAGTGAACACTCTGGTGTTCAGGTGACACAGTCAGCCCAGGAAAAAGAGAAGCAAGTCCAGGTGGAAGTGAACAACAGACAAGAGAAAAACAGAGGTGGAGAGAAATCCAAGCCTGAACAGGAATGTCCTCGTTCAAAAAAAAGAACTTTGAAAGAGAATCTTTCTGATCACTTCAGAAACGGCAGTAAGCCCAAAAGGAAGAACTATGCTGGGAGTAAATGGGACTCTGAGTCCAATTCTGAACGAGATGTAACGAAAAACAGTAAAAATAATTCCCCGCCGTCTTCCGATAAGGAGGAAGGTGAGGCCACCTCGGATTCTGAGTCGGAGTTTAGTGAAATTCACGTCAAAGCCAAACCCACAACAAAGTCTGCAAATTCTTCACTGCCCGATGGTGATGGTGCTTGGAAGTCGAGCAAACGGCGCTCATCAACCTCCGATTCTGAGGGGTCCTGTTGCATCTCAGAGAACCCCAGAGGAAAGCCGCGGAAGCACAAACACGGCTCAAAGGAAAGTCTTAAAAGGGAGCACACCAAAAAAGTGAAAGAGAAAATGAAAGGGAAAAAAGACAAAAAGCACAAGGCCCCGAAACGAAAACAAGCATTTCACTGGCAGCCTCCGCTGGAATTTGGGGAAGAGGAGGAGGAGGAGACTAATGAAAAGCAAGTGACTCAGGAGCCACTAGAGAAGAAACAAACCTCTGAAAACAGTGAAACCACAAAAGAAAATACCCCCCAAACTGAGAAGCCCTGTGAGGACGGCAGCCTCTCAGATAAACAGAATACAGCAACGCTTTCATCAGACGCTGAGCAGCCTGCTAAAGATAGTAAACCCCACAGTTCCCTCACACCTTTAAATACCGAGGACAATGTCACCAGTTCTCCCGCAAATGGTCAGCATGTTGAAGAAAGTGCCCCAGGCGGAGTGGAGGTCATGTTTCAAGCAGACGACAACATGGAGATTTGCACTCCTGATAGGACTTCCCCAGCGAAGGTGGAGGGAGCGTCCCCTCTGGGAAATTCAAGGCTTGACACCCCGGACACAGGCATTGTTGTAAAGCAGGAAATGCAGGCAGAGCATCCTGAGGCCCAGGGGGGGAAACAGGAAAGCAGCGTGCCTGAGAGCCCCCTGGCGGGGGAGGTGGGGAAGCCCGACAGCAACTCGGGCTCCGGCTCTGCCAGTGCCCTGGAAAGCGCAGTGAGCTCAGGGGTGGCTGAAAGGGGCCAGGTCAGCCTCCTGGATAATAAATGGAAGCCCCTGCCAGGGGTGGGGAACCTGGCAGCACCGCCGGCTACATGCAGTGCTGTGGAAGTTAAGGCACTGACAGCTGTGCCTGAAATGAAACCGCAAGGCTTGAGAATAGAAATTAAAAGCAAAAATAAAGTTCGGCCTGGGTCTCTCTTTGATGAAGTAAGAAAGACAGCACGTTTAAACCGGAGGCCAAGAAATCAGGAGAGCTCAAGTGAAGAGCAGACGCCTAGTCGGGATGGCGACAGCCAGTCCAGGAGTCCAAGTCGATCTCGAAGCAAATCTGAAACCAAATCAAGACACAGAACAAGGTCTGTTTCCTACAGTCACTCAAGAAGTCGATCGCGAAGTTCCTCGTCATCTTATCGGTGAGCAATATTCTCTTTCCATTTTTTCTCCCAAAGAGAGTCTGTTAATGTTTAGCCTGGAAGAACATGAGAATTAGGGACAAGATTACTATATCTAAATATCTGGAAGGTCAGTAAGGAGAAGTCTTGTGCTGTGTGACTCAGAGCAGATTGAGGACACAGTGGGTTTCAGGGAAGAAATTGGGGCTTCATGTGAAAAGCTCTCGCTTCTATTGAAGCTCCCGGGCAGTAGAAATCAGTTGCCATGTGAGGTGGCAAGTTCTCCATCTTTAAAGATGTGAGGCTGCTCTCTCACCTGTCAGTGATTCCTTCGAAGGGAGTCCTGAATTTACAGCACGGAAAGGATCTAGAGAGCATCGATCTAACCCTCCACTTCACACAGTTGCCTGCTCAAGACAAGCACCTAGTTGACCTTTTTTTCCCCGATTACAGTTGACATTCAGTATTATTTTGCATTAGTTTCAGGTGTATTCATGGTGGTTAGACAATCATATACTTTATAGTGTTCTCCCTGATACTTCTAGTACCCACCTGGTACCACACATAGTTATTACAATATTGACTATATTCCCTGTACTGTACTTTATATCCCCGTGACTGTTTTCTAGTTACCAAATTGTACTTCTTGATTCCTTCCCCTTTTTGACCCAGTTAGTTTATCTTTATTCAAGGGGGTGGCAGAGGTGGGATGTAAAAATGATCATCTTTCGATTTATTTATTTTTGGTTCAAGTTGTATGTAACTTCTGTCATCAGCATAGCATGAGCTTTTTTAAAACCTAAAAGAAAGTGGTGATGGTGATATAAGTAATTTGTATTCTTTGCGATATAAATATTTCTTGGTTTTACTCCACTACCTCTTTAATTACTCATATCCCTTTTTATATTGTGCTTGATTTTCAGCACTTGAACTTAAAATACAATAATTGTCTTTGACCATTTTTTCCTTTCTAGTCATTTGTCAGTCTTTTTCTCCCCTTACCCAGATTTTGTTAAAAACAGGAAACAACACTTGCCACCTGTAGTAACTGTCCCCCATTTCCTCCTCAGTTGCTTGCAGCCTGTCTTCCATGCTTTCCTCCCCCACTTCGCTAGGTTTTCGGGTACTTCTGCCTGGCCAGGTTTTGGTCCTCACACAGGAAGCCCTCTACTAACGCTCCTTGTCCCTCAGACCATTCTATGCTTGTGTTGTGGGCTCCTCTTCCTCCCCCTGCCCCGACTTCCGACGGGCCCAGAGAGTTGGTGAATCCTGGCATTTCATGTTCTTGGGTGCAGTTACCCGTTGAGCTACTGCAGCCTCCTCTCTGCTCAACATCTGCCTTCCCATTTACACTCTGATAGCTCTGAGCTGTTGGAGATGCTGGCTACTGCCTTTGGGATGGGTGGTATTTCATTTTGTAAATGAAGACAGTGAGGCATAGAGAAGCCAAGGAATTTGCTCTAAGCGTTTCAGCTAAGGGTAGTAGACTGAGATAGCTGAACGCTACCTCCCTGTTTTGGTTACCTGCCTGGGTCTGACTCCCCTAGTAGGCTGTAAACTCCTTAAAGTAAGGTACTGCCTTGCAGAACATCTTGGTCCTGTCTAAAACATCCATGGAGACATCTGGTCCATGTCTTCTGATCTGCCTAACCCCATGTGCTATTACCAGCTAGGTGACCAAGCAAGAGAGGGGTTATTATTAGCAGTATAGCCACACCACAATTATTGGACCACTAAAACATGATAGTACTTTTCACATATTAAATCAGAAATATAAATAGCCCTGGCCAGTGTGGCTCAGTTGGCAGACACCGAAAGGTAGTGGGTTCAATTCCTGGTCAGGGCACATACTCAGGTGGCAGGTTCGATCCCTGGTTAGGGCACATACGGAAGGCAGTCGATCGATGTTTCTCCCTCACATCCATGTTTCTCTCTCTTCCCCTCTTCCTTTCTCTCTCTCTCAAAAGCAATAAACATATCCTTGGGTGCAGATTAAATATATAAATATAAACATGAACTCTCTGAACCCAGGGATGTTTTTAAGTTTGGACATTTTTTATAGGACCAGATATCAAGGATCATTTGGCATCGGCCAAACACGCTTATGGACATTTTTGATGGACTAAGCGTTTGCTAATCCAGAGGCTGTTTCCTACTCATCTTTCATTCACTTCACAGAGTGTGCTTTATAATTGTTTGCTGGATATGTGACTAGAATCTTATTAGAACATAACGTGTTCAAAACTGCATAAAACCTGTGAGGTATCATACAGGTAGCCTACACGTGGGGCTGTTTTCCTGTTCCTGAGTCACAGGAGTGAAGCAGGAGGAAGGCCAGGGGCCAGATGAACGAGGGGCAGGATTGCATTGCTTACGTTTTTGTTTGTTTTACTAAATATTAAGTAGACATAAAAATAAGTGACTACGGTATAAAAGGTAATTTAAAATGCCATCTAGCTTAAAAAAATAGAGCTTTGACATTCCTGATGGTAGCCCTACCCATGCTACCCTACTTTCTTCTCTCCTAGAATTAAACATTATTCTGAACTCTTGCTACAATTTTGTTGTTTTTCTTCATAGTTTCACCACAAATGTTTCTATCCTTATACAGTGTTTTTGCATGTTTTCAAACGAAATCCTTTTTCATATATATATATATATATATATACACACATATATATATTTTCCTACGTTTGCCTTTTCACTGAACATTTTGTTCCTAAGAGATAGCTCAGTTGATACATGAGGCTGTGTAGTTCATTTTCCTGCCTTAGAGTATTTCAGTATATAGTCTCTGTGTTAACTTTTTTTAACTCATTCTGAGATAGGATTATTTCCTCTTTTGCTGTTACTAATAGGGCTCCTATAAACCACCTGTACCAGCCTTTCCTGGCTTTTCTTTATTTCTTTCTGTTCAGTTTAAACCCTTATTAACTGTCAATGTCATACCCACTGTGAGGAGTTCATGAGAGACCTTTCCAACGACCTTTCCTCTTACTGTGTTTTCCCCTTCCTGCCCTACAAGTAAGTAATTTTAACAGCATGGGGGTTTGATATAATTATAGTTTTCCACTCTTCATTATAGATCAAGAAGCTACTCTAGAAGTCGGAGCAGAGGGTGGTACAGCAGAGGCCGCACAAGAAGCCGGAGCAGTTCCTCCCGCAGTTACAAAAGTCATAGGTGAGCTTGTGCATCCTACCCGCCTATGTGGTCTCCATCCTGCCTGCTCTTGAAGGCCTGTCATTGCTGAATACCAGTCAGGCCTGTTTTCTCTAGTTCTTTCAAAGAGCAATCAGATTCTTACTACCTGTTCTCAGGATGGGATCTTCCCAGAATGGGGAGAAACAGTAGAAATATTTATGAGAGGCCCTGACCACTCCTTCCACCTCCTTCCCACCCCCAGTACATCTTCCTTAACCTAAGTTCACATCTGCAGTCACCTCTTGACTTGGGTTAGAGATTGAGATAGGAGGATTTTTAAAGGGGGACCAAGGGAAAAAATAGGCCTCTCAGGTATTTTCCTGCAGCTTCATTTTACTTATAAGTGTCCTACCTGGGCAGACCTTTCCTCTCATCCCTACCCCATACCTAGTCAGAACCTCCCCAGTCACTTTCTTGTTTTATTTTAATTGAATTTATTGGAGTAACATTGGTTAATAAGATTATACACGTTTCAAGTAGACAGTTCTACAACATATTATCTGTATGCTGTATTGTGTGTTTACCACCCCAGATCTCCCAGAGACTTTCTTTAGGTGTACTTCATAGAAGAATAGCATAGAATTTAATCTTTCTTATGAAATCCAACATGCTTTTTAAAAATCCAGTATGCTTTTGATATAAAGACAAAATCAGTAGAGCTGCTGGATTTCATTGTTTTTTTCTTGATGGGCAAATAAGTGTCTAGTGTTTTGATGTAGCCTGTCCTGATCCCTGAGATGACAATCCCTTCTGTGATTACTACTAGGACGTCCAGCAGGAGCAGGTCCAGGAGCAGCTCGTACGATCCCCACAGTCGGTCCAGGTACGCACAGGGATTGGGTAGCCACCTGCAGGGCAGAATTGAGAGGCCTTGTTCTATAAAACCCTTAATTCCCTTTTAAAAGTGTTGTATTTTATTGAGAAACTGTAACACATGTATTTTCTCAAGAAATCATACCCTTTCTAAATGAGGTCTTTTTGACAGTTTTTTTCTGTTTGCCCATTGTACTCTAGCGTCTAAAGGGACAATTAATGTCAAATTGTAATGGCAGGTGTTTATTGAATAGAATTGCCTGATATCCACCAGATTCAATCTGACTAACTCAGTGTCAATTTTGTGATATTTTCCAATGCAGAAAAGAAATTAAAATTTTTGTCTTTAATACGGTAAGTCTGATTTGGGGCAGTTGTTAAATGTTTTCGGTACTTGTTATGCAAATGTGTCTCACATTGTCCAGTGGTGCCCATGTTCTACGCTCCTAAAAAGAAATGGGACTATATGAGTGTTTGAATAGGAAACCTTAGTGCTTGTTGTTGTGTTAAAGCAGGTCCTACACTTACGATAGCTACTACAGCAGGAGCCGCAGTCGCAGCAGAAGCCAGAGGAGCGACAGTTACCACCGAGGCAGAAGCTACAACAGGCGGTCCAGGTGGGTCTCCCCCTAGAACACTGCACGTTCCTATGGGCACTTGGTGTGTGAAGCGATAGGAAAGAAAGCATAATCCTTAGGACAGAAATCCTTTCTCCTCTTCTTGAGTTTTAGCAGACCACAGGCAGCTACTAAATGTGACCTTTGTATTAAGAGTTTGCTGGGGCATGTTTGTTGGTTATTGTTAATGTTTGAATCCAAATAGATTTTTAAATAGTCACATGTCCTTACACAAAAATCTCTTGGAAGGAGTAAGAGATGTCCATCAAAACCACGGCCCACTTTTTTAAATAGGGCTCATTGCTAGAAAATAGCAAAGCCAGTTTGTCAATTTTTTAAATTAAAAAAAAAAGTATAATAAAATGTCATCATCATTTGCTTCAGCAGCAGGATTAAGGTTTATATCTTTTCATTATTTGGGGAAAATGTGTTTTTTATTTATTGTATTTACTAATACTATGTTATATGCAACGTTTTGCCTAGCCCACCCAACCCACAGCCCGCTTTTTTAAATAGGGCGCTGCAAGTTTTTATGGTTACTTTTGTAATGTCCCTTTCCTGGGGGTTTTCAGTTGTGCCCTCCCCCAGCCACTGCAGGGACAGTCAGTGACCCATGTAGACTCTCATGTGTAGACTGGGCACTTCCTTGTTTGAAACCCTTCAAGGGCTCCATCTGCACTGCCCTGTGGGGCAGGTCCAGGCTCTAGCATGGCGCCTCAGCTCCCTCCACCTACAGCTTCATCCCAGGCTTTTCTGTCTTCCCCCTTTAACGTGCTGGAACCTTTGTTTCCGCCTAGAGACACCCACACCATGTCTTCCCTCCTGCCTCTTGAAATTGCCAATCCCCACCTACTTTACAGTCTCCACTGCAACCCACTGCCCTGGGAAGCCCTCCCGGCTGCTGACCCTGAGCTCTGCCCCCCAGCCCCCAATCCTGTGTGCCTGTTTGTCTTGCCCATTGTTCTGTCCTATCCTTGAGCCCCAGGGAACAGTACTTGGGGGGGGTGGGTGTGTGTGTGTGTGTGTGTGTGTTCTGAGTACCTAGCAAAGTGACTAGCTCTCAGTGAATATTTTTCAAAGTAACTGGATGGTGATCATAACCATGTCCTTTTGACTCACTATCCCAATGCTCCTGTCATGCCCCACCCCACCCTCACCCCTCATTGGGCGCCATTTGATTTCCATGTCTTTAATGACACTCTCTTCATGTGCCTTTTCCCCTCACTTTCTCAGTCTAATTAAATACTGATGTTCATTTGGGTAACATGGAAAATCATTCTGCTCATTTGCATGAGTGAATTTCAAGTAATTTCCCAAGATGTGATGTTTCTTTATTTTATCTTAACCTTGATGTTATTACTTGATCATTTAAGATCTCTGCAAAGTTGTTTTACCACAGTCGGTAGTACCCCACTGGTCCACCCACTATGCTAAGTGCCACATCAGTATTGCCTTCAAGCCACTCTAGTCAAAAAAGAAGCTACAAGGGGAATTCAGAGGATTGACAGCTAAAAGGTGTTCGTGTTTGTTTTGTTTTGTTATACAGGAGTTGTAGATCTTATGGCTCTGACAGTGAAAGTGACCGAAGTTACTCTCATCACCGGAGTCCCAGTGAAAGCAGCAGATATAGTTGAAAATGCCCCCTTTTTTGATACGAATTATATCTTATTTGTAAATATCTGGTAACTTAAAAGTTTAAGAAACTTAATGCCAGTTTGTTGTTCCATTTCAATATTAGAGATGAATTTCAAAAATAGACACTTCTTAATTGTTACTTGTTCATTTACTTGTGCGCAGAATTTAAAATACAGATATGTCTCCTAAAAATATTTTTATGCCGCATTTTACAGTAGCCAACTATGGAAGTGAATTTCATTTTCTTGAATCAAGAAACCATGAAATTTTGGTATAATTTGCAATATTATTTTAGATAGACTTTTTCTCTCCATCTTGTGTTCCTTAGAATACAGGTTCTTTTTGCCCGTTTTTCAGGTTTAGTATTTTGCTGCCAAGTACAGACCTGTGGAGGAGAACTGTTAAAGGTGGCCAAACGTTTCTATACTGATTACAGTCTAATACATATGTGCTCTGAAAAACAAACTGCCCAGATCCATCCTGATGGTAGCCAGGAGTACGAGGCGGTGGCGCTGGGGCTCTTGATTCTTTCCTTCTTTGCTGTCTCCAACGATCAGGAAAGTGGTCATCACACAGCCTGCTGTCTGTTGCATGCTGGCAGGCGAGATTAGGGAGAAGAAATCGGCCTTAAGTAAGTACCTGCACCGTCTCTAAGGACCTAATGTTCCCTGTGCTTTCTAGTAAATACTACCAGAAGTTTAGACTGTAAAAATGATTCTACTCCACTTCACCCTTTGGTGCTTGGTACCTTTTGGTGCCTCTTTAAACAATCTCATGAGAGAGAGACGTTAAAAAAAATAATTTTATTCACTGGCACCAAACATGGTTCCTTCTGAGCTGCATTCACTTTGAATATTTAGAGGGGCTCTCTCAAGCCACAGCTGTGGGCTGGGGTACCCTGGACCAGGCAGCATTGGCATAGGGGGTGTNGACCAGGCAGCATTGGCATAGGTCACTCAGGTCTACTGCACATGACTGACGTATGTGCCTCAAAGAGTGGATTGAAGTATGGACTTCAAAAGTAACACCAAAATCTGACTGCCGCCATCCCGGACATTGTGCAGGGCTTTGAAGTCTGAAGTAAGAGGCAGACACAGCAGTAGTTGAACGGTTCTAGGCACCAGCATGGTTTTCAGTTTCTGCTGTGGCCACACTGACTCGGTGAAGCCTTGTGTGACTTGAGTAAACCCATGACAACACAGGGAAGGAGGTGCATGGGACTGCATAATTTATACATGTTCACAGTTTTGGGTGGTTCCTCCAAAAATGATTTGACCTGTAAAAACCGGCGTGATTTTTTTTTAAATCTAGTTGGAATTTTTTCCGCAAGTGTACTTAATCACCTTAGTGCCAGTTTAGTCCAGTAATGCAGGAGAAGTTCATATGGGATGTTGGATGTAGAGCTGTGTGCCATCCTACCCAGGCCTTGCCTGGTGCACTAGTGAAGTGGGGAAGAGCCCTTAGTTGGAGGGATCTGACAGCCCTTGATGGGTGGAGGGATGACTATGGACACATTCAAACCATTATCCTAAAAGGTTCATAAACAGGGTTAAGGGGTCAGTTGTTTGCCAAGTTGATAGATGAGAGTACATTAGACAACAGGACCTAAGTGAAACAAACATGCTTCTAGTGACGACAAAACATCGTGTGATTCACATGAAGGGTTCTCAGAAGTTGCCTGCAAAGGAGAATATTGCTTTAATAATACTCAGTGGGAAAAATACTGCATTCAGAACCCAAACAAAAACTGCCAAATCTAATTATGTTAAGAAAAGTTACCCTTGGGCAGTGTGTTGGTTTTCTGTTGCTTTGTAAATAATTACCCCAAACTTTGCAGCTTAAAACGGTACCGGTTTTTTAGCTCAGTTCTGTAGCTCGCGATCTGGCTCACTATGGCTGGGTCCTCTGCTCAGGGTCTCACAGGCTGAAGCCAGGGGTCAGCAGGGCAGCATTCCTTTATGGAGGCTCTAGGGAAGGGGCTGCTTCCAGTTCATTCAGGTGCTTGGCAGTGTCCGTTCCTGTCTGGGCCTTTCTCTCAGCTCCTTAAGGCTGGTCCAATTCCTTTCTGTGGCTCCCCTACCTCTTCAGACCAGCAGTGGCCCACTAAGTCCTCATGCTTCAGATCTCTCCGCTTTTCCCCTCAGTGTTAAGGTTCATGTGATTACATCCAGCCCTCTGAGCTAGGCTTCCTATTTTAAGTTCATAGACTATATCATCGCAGGAGGGATCCCCTACTCACAGGTCCCTGAGTTGGGGCATGGAATGGGGGAGGGGCATTGTAGAATTCTGCCTACCACAGGCAGCAACCTTGCCCTTTGATGTGGGTGGAATTTTATCCTGAGAAGTGGGCCCTGGAAGCCTCATGTTTTCTCCATGAAAGAGAACAGCCCTCAGCTGCAGCCTTCAACTTGTGTGTTTACTGAATGACCTACAGAGACAGCTTTTCTTCCTAAGGGGATTGTTCTGTATTTTAAGTTATTTTTTAATAAAATTGAATTATGTTATGTATTGTGCTTCTAAATAGAAAATGCATTATTGGACTGTTTTTGTAATGTCCTGTTTACTGCAAATTAAATATGATATAGCTGGTATTGTTTAAAAACTAGAAAATACTTTTGTACATATTGGCAATGTGTAATTTGTATACACTTCACTTAAATTCCCCAAAACTTGAAAGGGAGACCTTGTAGAAATTAAAATATATACTTAGTCTAAGTCTGAGCGTCTTTCATCTTTCTTGACTCATCCACATTTCAGCTAGTCTTTCTGAGGTGGAAAAGGAAACCCTGAGTCTCTGCTGACCCACCTCTGAGGCTCACTTTCATCTTGTAGCTAAGCATTAGTGATGGGCATGAGGGGCAGCTAGAGAGAACTTCAGGCAGAGACATCCACCTCCCCAGAGAAGCACTGAGGGTGCTCAGTGTTCCCCCAATGACTCCACAGCTCCTCTAGGCTTTGGTGCTGTCACCCAGCTGTGACCTGCACTCAGATGTCTTTGCGGAGGAGAGAATGTGTCCCATTCCATCTGTGCGCTGCTGCCCAGGGACAGTGCGTTTACCTGCTAGCCCACCTAGCCAGCCTGCACACCTCCCTCCTAACGTGGTTCACCAGTAGGCACATGGCACTCACTCCTGGAGGAAGCACTGGGGATATTTTTAGCAACCACAGGAGGATTTGCAGGGCAAGTACAATTAACTTTTTTCTCCTCGGGACTCCAAGGAATTTGTATTTGCTTAGTGACTACAACATAACCTCTCAGGGTAAGACTTGCAGAGATTTCATTTTCAAAATTCAGTAATCAGTAGACCTTCCCCACCCCCCCCAAATCAGGCCAATTCCTGACAACAGTCCAATCTGGATGCGTTGCTTTAAAATTTAAAGAAAATTTGCAAGTCTGCTGTGGAAAATCCCCAAGCGAGCTTCCTTCAGGGTCTCATTTGCTAGTGAGCCCTGGGATCTTCATTCACATTCTGATAGTGACCATCCCATCAGCTGGGCAGCACTGGGGGAAATGTGTCAAGGGCTTCGGTCTTGGCTGTTCTGAATCAGCTGGGCGTTGAATAGGAGGTAAGAGAATCCAAGGAAGTGCCCCTCTCGGTGACCGTGAACGGTGGCCAGAGGTCACTGGAAGGGAAAGGAGGCTCTGTCGATGCGGAGTGAGAAGCCTGCACGTTAGTCTCTGCGACCAGGTGAGGGGCCTGGAGGAGGGCATCAACTCTGCTGCTGCCCATGGTGACAGGCCAGAGCCTGAAGTCCCCGGAGGAGCTGGGAGGGGTGGCTAAGGGACTCCGGCTTGGCAGGGAGTTCTCTGAGGCTGTAGAGGCAGCAGCCTCGCAGGAGCCAGGCGCCCTGCGTGCCTGCTCGCCCAGGACAGCCTGGGCAGCTCCACCAGTGCCCGGTGAGGACAAGGCAAGCAGAGCTGCACGAGGGCGCGAGGCTGGGATGGCCTGTTGAAAGCTTCCAGTGGAAAGAGGCAGGGCTCCCTTGCCCTGCCTCCCCGTGAATCAGAAAGCTTCCAGTGGGGTCGGTGGGTGGCAGAGAATCCCAGCAAACCCAGGGCCCTGCAGGGTGGGGGAGCATAGATCTCTGGGGGTGGGGTTGGAGGGGTGTTGCTTAGGTTCTGCTTCTACTGAGCTTGGCACTAATAGGCTACAGCTGCTGGGGGATGGGCACCTAATTCAAACCAGCAGGTCGCCGTTCCCTCCCGCAGCATGAACGTCATGGCCTTGGCATTCGAGGCCTCCCTCGCTGCATCCAGGATCCTCTCCCACCCTGCTGGGTCAAGGGACCCCAGGCGTCTCATTAATGATTGAGCCTGGCCCTCCACGTGAAACCGTGGCCTCCTACCCTCGTCCTGGAGGCAAGCCCAGGGCCAGCGTCCCTGAACTCCTTGGCTGCATGCTTGGTTCTAAGCATTTAATCCGCACCAGTTCCAGGAGGGAGGGGGCCTTAGTATCCCAGTTCTTCGGGGGGAGGAGCTGAATTATAAAAGCCAAACAATTGATCTAGTTACCCAACTTTAGGAAGTGGCAGAACTTGAACCCAGGCAGCCTCGCTCTGGGCCAAAACCATTAAGGACTGAGCCACAGAATAGTTGCTCAAGGGGTCCTTTATATCTTTAAAATCAAGTCAGGCCAGAGGCATTGAGGTCAGTGGGGTCCTTGGGGAATCTGGTGGTCGGTTTTAGTTGCAGGAAGCCCTGGATGATGTGGGGCTGAGGTGCCAGCCCAAATGCTCTCCCTCTTTCCCCCATCTCAGCTACACAGCTCCGAGGTCCCCAGGGAGACTGAGCACGTATCTCCCCCCCCC